TGCAAAATATCATCACTAAGCTAGTTAATTATGTCCCTACTTTGAAAACATATAAATTAATATCACTAAAGTAATACTTAACTATCATTTTGAGGATGCACTATGAAATATAATCCTCTTCTATATTCCTTAAATTCCTCTATTTATATGTTATGCAGTTCAAATTCAAAAATTTTTATTTTCAAGGAAAAAAATTATCACTAACTACTTAAGTTTGTTCACAATACTTTATTATTTATAGAATTCCATTAGAAAGTTAGAGATCTCATGTTAAAATTTTAATATCTATAAATGAGAAACAGGTTGAGTTATTAAATACTAACTTAAAAATCTTAATTTAAAATTAAAATTAAAACCTTAAATCTCTATATCATTAGATAGTTGACAATGATGTAAAACATAAAATTTAAAATTTAAAATTTAAAATTAAAATTTTAACACCTAACGTGAAATGCTAGGAATTATACTTTTTTTTTTTTTAGGTATTTAACATCACAATATCCCTAGACCAATCTTCCACTACTGGAAAACGCAGCATAAGCGACAATATTATATTCGACAACCACATTTCTGTCGAAAATGTGTACATAATCGACAGAAAGATTAACGAAGATGTAAAATTGACGATGATAATGGAAATTTCTTGTTTAATCGACAGTATTCATATTCGACAACTTTTTTGTTGAATATGTTTATTTATGGGAACGACATCGTTTTTTCTGTATATTCGACAGCTTTGGCTGTCGAATATACTCCTTCATATCACCCGCGCCTCACCTTTCTTCCCCATTTCTGGTTTTCCTCTGCGGCGGTAGATCTGGTTTCTTCTCCGGCGAAGCTTGCTGTCGTTGTTCTTCCGTAGCGCCCTCTGTTGTCCGCTTCGCGCCAGTGCCGGTGAGTTCGCCCTTCTCTCGGTCAATTGATTGATTTATTTTTGCATGTATTTTCCTTGCATTGTTCAGCCTCCAGCTAGCGACGACGTCGGCAGCTTGCATTTTGGTTCAGCCTTGCATTTTGGTTTAGCCTTGCATTTTGGTTCAGCCTCCAGCGTCTCTAAGCAACCACACCACGTGGATCGGAGGTTTGCTGGAAGTTGCAGCGAACACAGTCGTCGGCAGCTTCATTTTTTTTTTTTTTTTTGGTTTTACTTGTTTTTTCCTTGGATATACTGCTTACAATACCCCATTTTTGGTTTTTTGTAGGTTGAAATCCTGCT